CAAATGTTGTCACCACAGCTCGTATAAATACACCGAAGTGCCGCGTAGAATTGCATCGTAGTGCCACGTAGAATTGCACCGTAGTGCCATATAATAATGTCTATAAGGACCACATATCATTCCTTAAGAACCATATACATATTCCAAGGATCACATAGGTGTCTCAACAGACCCCATACATGTTTCAAAGAATACATATATGTCCCGAAGGACCGCGTAGACCCTCGACTCTTGGCATGCCAACTATACCCCTAGCTCTCATGACACATAACATGAGCATTATCATTTATTTCATTTCATATTCACACATTCATATTACTTATCTCTTATCGCATGTCTGATCTCTTATAATCATGTAATCACATAGCTCATGTCATTTCTTGTGAAATCACACATATCATGTAATACATATAACTCCTATACTTTCTCATATATTCACATAGGTAATATCATAGGACTTATATCTTTTCATATGGTTTATGTTCTATTCTCTTATATTCACATACATGTAATACATATCAAACATGTTTACATAAATCATTTCTATATAATTCACATGTACTTATATTCTTTTTCATATACTCACATAGTCATATAATATAATATTTCATATGACCTCATATATCACATCACTTATATACATATCCAAATATTCATAGATACATATCACTTAAATTATTCATATTTACATAATTTATGATCATATAGTTCCTATCACAAGTCACTTATCTTATCTCTTCTTCTCATATGTTCATATTTATCATACAACACATAAGTTTTATTACATATTTATATCACATTCATATATCACTAATTCATAATATAATTTAAATCGCATCATCTATCTTATTCTTTATTTCTTAGTATGCACATATATTACATAACCTATATTATACTGATAAACATATATATTACTTATTATTTCTTTTATATACAAATTAATCAATTTACTTAATTTAATTTCATATAACTCCTATAATTTTCTCATATCACTCCATATTCAAGTTTCCTAATTGATACATTATTCTCATTTCATTCTATAACTCAATCTTATTTAGTTTCTTTCAATTCATATTAAATCATATAACGCTATTATATTAAATTCTCATAATTAATTATACCACTATGTACACTCATAATCCCATTATTCATATAACTTTTCCACATAATTACCTAGTTTCTATCGTTTCTCGTGGATTCACTTTCATCATATTCTTTTATTTTTACATATTTTATTTCATAATCCTATACTCCCTTTATCATATGATTTATGTAGGTTCTCTTATATCTCTTCATAAACATATATTTTCTATTCTATATATTACGTAGATCTTATCATAGGACTTATTCTTTATACTTACATAAATTATAACACATACAAGAACATATCAGCTCATATAATCAATCATACATACATTTCATGTCATTCGCCTACTTATAATCAACACTTCATGCATAATAAAACAACTATCAGAAATATACTTATCACAAGTCCAATTTCCTTATAATCCTATAAAATAAGATGCACTCACCTGGGCCTCACCAAGTTAATACCGATCTCTCATATTTCCCTTGATCGATCTTATTTTCCAAATGTTCCGAAACTGATTTATGCTCGGTATCTACACAAATATACAATTTAAGGCAATCTATCAAAATCTAACCTTATAACTTGATACTAATAGCTTAAACGACTTTAAGAAAATTAACATTTCCATTTTCCTTTAGGGGGTATCGATACCCTACTAGGGGTATCCTCATGACATTCTGGAATTCTGCTCGTTTGAGAGGGTATCGGTACCCCTTTGAACGGGTACCGATTCTCCCTAGGCCAGAAATCATTTTTAAGCTCAAAAATCCACTTGATTCAATTCAAACGCTTCATCTTTCATCCCCTTTCATATTCCTAACTTACATATACATACTTAAACTCATTAATATTCATTTATCTCATCTTTAACCTCAAAATTTCATCTTTCTTATGGAAATCAATAATCATACCAAAGTTTCCATGTTATCCAAACTTAATTATAACACTTCTAACTTCTTATTCTTATAGATGACAAGTCAAATTCATCCTCCAAATTCGTTTAAACCTTCTTATTCAAAATTTCACTTAAAACCCCATATTCTTTAATCTCTTCTAACATCTTCATCTTTGAGTTTTTACTTATCTTTAGATTTCCTTAAGCTTTCTTACTTTCCAAAGAATCAAAACCAACTTAGAATTCAAATAATAATCAACTAATAAAAATTCTCACCTTAGCTCTTGGCTTCCATGCGTGAAGAAGAAAGGAGAAGAAGAAAACTCTGGAAACTCATTTCCCCTCATTCCCACGTTTTTATATCCCTTAAAAGAGAAATAAAAAACATTCTCTTAGAAAAAACCATAATACCCTTATTACTTTCAAACTTTACTATTAAATCCAATCTCAAAATTCTCCAATTAAAATTCTGAACTTTTTAACTTATTTCGAAATTGAACACAATACTTTCAAAATTCACCTTTAAGTCACTAGCCCGATATTGAGGATGTTACAATGGGCATGATGACTTGGCATATCATTTCAGAGTCCAAGTTGGGATGATCTTGGTTGACCCCTCCAGCACAACATGTGTGAGGACCGTTGTATACTGTTAGTTCCCATATGTTGTTTTTCCTCTTCCTCTTCGATACGCGAACCATCCAATTGCATCCGTTTTCGCATTGGGCACAATGACATACATATTTTTCTGTCGTAGAGCGATCGACTCTGGATTGAACAGAATTACAAATATTATAATTTTTTATATCCATCATCACTTCTTCTTTGCTTGAAAACTCTATGCCTAAAGATAACTCACCATTATTTATTGATGAGTAATATCCATAGTCACCAAGATGAGGCATATCCGCAAATTCTGGCCCGTACATTGCACCATAATCATCTTCATACATGTGTGCTAGAGGGTCAGTTTGTGCCACATTTCCTGGAACTTCATCTACATCATCATCATCATCGGAGTTGAATTGCGGTGATTCTGGGTGAATGAATAGTCCAGTCTCAGCACCATCCGCACCAGGCTCATGAAGCGGTTCTTCTGGTGGAGATGATGGTTCCTCCATGCTCTCCACATTTAGGTCGAAGAACCTACTACTTGCACGCCTTCCCCTTGAACTGGAAGATATATCGACATTGAGATCGAAAAAGCTCGCAGTCGAATGCCTTCCCCTGGAGCTTGAAGTCATCGTGTCAAATGGAAACTGCACAGATTGTTGCGTCGATGGCATCTCCATATTAAGGTCAAAGGGATTTGCAGATGAATGTCTTCCCCTTAAACTGGACACGATGTTGCCATACGGATTATTCGTCGACCCACCTAGGTACATATCGTAAGGAGTTGCGGATGAATGTCTCCCCATTATGACATTAAAATCATTACACATTACTGTCGTCGGGCTGTCAACTTGATCAACTTGTTCAACCAACCCATAGTGGGAGCTTAATGATTGACCCCGAACAGCACACACTTAAACAAAATTTACATACATCTCAATATCGGCGTTTGAATAATTACTTTGAGTTTCATCCATCATTTCAACATCATCATTGTTCAAAAGTTCGAACGTTGTATAAGTTAATGACAACAATGATGTTGGAAATCTGTACTGCAACGACGACATTCTTCTACTACTTCCAATATGAATCTTTCTCGAAATCTTCGTTATCAGTTCCTCAATAGTTATGTTTCTCTTGAATGATATTTTAACATGCTCATTTGATACGAAAACAACCCCGATTTCATCTTTTCGAATTTCACCATCATAATAAACAATAGTTGAAAGTCGCGCCATTCTTTAAGTTTAAAAATGCGGCAATATTATATCTGCAAAAAAAAATCTGAAACAAACATGATTAAATAAATAATATATGAATGAAAATATAACACAATAAAATTTTTATACATAAACGTAAATAATTTAAATAATATAATTTTATATTATTACCTGCACCGCAAAACTATTTCGACGTATGCTCCCGCTTTCCAATTTTACAAACACATAAATTAATTGACAACAATTATTATAATATTTTTTCATATAATCATAATAAACAATAAGTATAATAAAAAATTATAACAAAATTATCTTATAACGAAAAATCGAACGAACTTCTGAATCAAATATGAGAAGATTGACGGATTGTTGTATTAATTTTTTTCTGTTGAGAGGAGATGTGAGGAGTTCCAGGGGGAAGGGTATTTATAACCGAGAAAAGTTATTATAATTATACAAGGCGCGATACCTGCACCGCGCCTTACATAATTATATTAGATAAAGCTAAGACGCGACCCCTGCCCCGCGCTATACCCTACGTGGCCTAAGGTGCGCCCCAGGGGCCGCGCTATACACACGTGTATCCAATGTCAGTATAAGGCGCGCCACGGGAGACGCCTTACTCCACGTGACGCCAAATCAACGTTAAGCGCGCTGCAGGAGTGCTCCTTTCTGCAAAGGATGTTAGATCGGAAATATAATCTGAACGGTGTTTGATCAAAAATATTAAATGAAAAATTTGATTTTTCGGGATAAACGCCGTGTTATATCATAATTTCTTTTAAAATTTTAATATATAGTTCTCGATTGTATATAGAGTCGGTCCGCATGTTACCTTGTTGATCTAGTTAGGATTTGCGTACGATCATCTAATAATAACATTCTTTAAATATTTTATTCTTCGTTTAAATGATATATTTGAAGGAATGGAACCTGCAAATCATTATATGTAGCGTCCATTGAGTCAACTGTGTTGCAAGAGGAATGGAAACCCACACCATAAAAACCTTATACTTGCAGAAAACAGATGAATTGAGCTCTGAAGAGTGATTTTAATGATAAAAATTGACATGTTCGAATAAGTAATTCAGGTTCGATCAGAATATTATCTATAAGACGTGTATGAATTTATTCAAACAAAAGATAAAACAAATATTATCATGAAACCATAACAAAATGGCTAAAAAAATGTACGATATCTACTGATTAGGGGCTTTATTCAATCAAGATTCCCACTACCGTACACTGAATCTCTTAATTTTCCAAAGAATACAAAGTCTGTTGGTGTCAAAAATCATGTAAATTACATAAACCTGCTTTTTTTTTTCTTCTTTTCAACGGATTGTATTTAGTATGACATTTGACATTCAAAGCATCTTCATAATTGCTTGATTTAATACCAATTTGTTGTGCCGATCCCCTGCTGAGCACTTCCACCATATCGCGACCTTGAGAAGAAGGGACGGGAGAGATTTCCCAGTTTACTTCAAACCAACTTTTCCCACCACAACGACGAATAACATCAACGTGGTTCACGTCGTTGGCCTTGTCATGGTAGATAAACCACGCCCCACAGGAATGACTCCTTGAAAGCTTTCACTTGATTCTTCCCCTTCTAGGGAATCTGCACGCAATTTTATAAAAGCAAAATAAGTAAAGATGAATGGAAAAATAATAAAAATAATATTAAGAAAAGCGAAGACGCAACACAGGTCACGTTGTCTATGCTGTTATCGGAAAAAAAATGATCACATTATTATATCTTTTTATATTTATTTTAATCCCCATTCCATGTCCTACCTACTAAAATATTGTCCATAGGATCTCATACCGTTTCCCATGGTCCATATATATGCTTCCTAGGGTCATTCTACGGTACAAACTTGCAAATAACCCAATTTTGAGAAACTAACTAATTGGTTTAGAATTTGACTACTGCTTTCAGATTTATAAGGTTCAAGGCAGTCCTCACCCGTAGTATCGTCACCGGCATTAGACCCTGCAATTCCAATACATGAGTATAAAGAATCTTCGTCCACTTTCAGCTGGTCATAAGCAAGGTAGATGTCTTCAATAGAAGCTGCCTCATAGAGGGAAGTAAGCTCTTTGATGCATGATATGTCCTGAATTCCAAAGAAAATAAAAATAAATTTGGAATGTATTACCATGACCATGAGACTAGTAAGAATTGAAAAGTATTGTTACATCTTTTTCACATTAAAATAAGTTTCAAACATATAGAGTAATAAAAAAAAGAAAAGAAAATAATAACATAACATAAAAACTGAACTATCAACTATCTAATTCCATTTCACCTTTCTAGGAATAGAAGAAGCTTGTAGGTGAGCCAACAATCCAAGCCAATACGCATTTGACTTTATTTCTGCTTCATGCCTCATTAAAAGAGTCCGTTTCGCCTGCAGATTTAAGGATTGCATTTATAAACTTAAACAAATGAAAGCTAGCTTGTCTAAATTCTGTTTTTCTTTTACCCATGAACCACATTCTTTCGCAACAATTTCGAATTACATTGTAACATGAAATAACACATTAAGTCATAATACTTGTATAAGAACTAACCCTCTCCAGTTCCCTTGGAGAAATCTTGTTGGAGTGTAAACCTCTAAGAACATTCTTGCAAGCATCAACAGCTTTGTATACCTGGAAGTTAATCCCAAAAATTGGGGATGAGGCCAAAAAGACAATAGTACCCACAAAAACAGAAAAAAGAAAGTAGATGTATCTGGATTAATTGCCCACCTTGCTTGGAGTGGATGTTACAGATACCACATACCATCCAAGCTTAAGTCGATCAAACAAGTTCAACTCAAATGATACATCATATGTTAACCCAAGGGAATCCCGGACTGTTGTAAAAAGCCTGTGTCAAGTTGGGTAGAATTTGCATTAGATGATTTCCAAAGCCATGTACGGATTTGTAAAGGATACCCCATAGGGTAAAAACTTAAAACATAAACAAATATTCTATTTTAACTAACAATTGCAGATGATTAACCTAACACTCCTGATAGCAATTTCACAACTTGGGTCTTATCTCATCTAACAGTGAAACGTGGTACAAGTTACTGCAGCAACCAAATAATTGAACACTTGCACACCATAAAAAAAATGCATTTTCTATCCATTCAGCATCACTTGCTCAATATATGCATGCAATTGGCTAAGAAGAATTACCTAGAATTTATAACCTCGGCTAATAGCCCCATTGTTATGCCATAGAAAAGTGGATGACTGCGAAGCTTTCTTTGCAGATCCTTCTGAGCATCGTTCCTCTCATCATAATGGAGTTGTGCTGCAAAGTAAACAGCCAGCCATAAGAGAAAAATATATATTTGTTTGAATTTCAAGGAAAACACACCTAACTTCACATGAATATCACACAAAAGTATTTGAGAATATATATTTTATATCATTTTTTCATTTAAAGATCATTTGAATGATTTAACTTGTATTCTGCTATAGTAACAAATCCGTCGACTCAGACAATAAATGAGCACCCTTTTGGCTCACAAGGAAACCTAAATCATGGCTCATAACAGTATCTATAGTTGGCTGTGGCACTTCACAGCTCCAAAATACAATCCGTCTCCATTTAAAAGAAGCTTCACAAAATACACTCAGTTTACTACTTCTCTCTATGGAACCAAGTTGAATACTCAACTACATTATAATAGGAAAGGGTAGACAACGCAAAGGCAAATTGAAAGATAGACTAAATCTCTATGCTCAAGCTGCTATAAAATGGAATTGCTCTGTTAGAAAAATTAGCAAATTGTTAAAGACCCGAGTCAGAACAACAGTGGCCAAATGATTCTCAACAGCTTAAGCTCAAGTGTTATTACTGATCAACCAGAACTGTTGCATAGGTCTGATCATTTACATTCATACCCATTGTGGGACGGAATATCACATATCATTACCATGATATGGGAACCAAGAACCAAGTTCTACACGTGCACTGTTAAAGCCCACATTAGTTAGATACACTGATATCAACTGTAATGATCTGGCTCTAAGCAACAACTTTTTCAGGCTTATGTGGCTCTCCAAACCTAGAACTCAAGTTACAACTTACAAGTAAGTGACTATGACACTCATTTGAGTCTCAATATTCAGATTTACATTCAAATGCGATGGGATATCAAAATCCCATCAACTCAAATCCTCGATGACCTCACCAAGACCTCACATCTTAATCACAATTAAGCTCCAGGCTGGGCAGGCAAGTGCTCTAACACTGACTTAACAACCCAAGTTCAACCACCACTGACCTAACAAGTTAAAAACCCTAAACCATGTTACCCTCCAAAGACTAAGCCCAAGTTATTCTGAATGATCGGCTAGAAGATTTACAAGGTATCATGGTTCACATTCATACCCAATATTCAGTTGGTTGCCACAATTCATACAGCTACATTTTAATCCACTCAACAGCAAACTTGATGGCATGGCTTTAAAGTTAAGAACTCTTCAAACCTTCTAGATGTTCTTATCTTGTATTTAAGATTGGACACTATGCAACCTTGCAGTCCAAGGAGCTAAAGAATTGAGATGGAAAAAATAATATCCAACTCTATGCATCATTAGAGAACTCACCATCAGCAACTGACTCAAATAGGTCTTTTCCATCAATTGTAAAACCCCATCGGTTAGGTGCAGGGCCTGCGATATATGCACATGCCCTTTCATCGGTGTCCTTCAAGAATACCTATTTGAAAAAAATAAACACATCCGTTGGAAGAAAAAATATGTAAAGATCTAGGAAGAAACAAACAGGGTGCAAGATAAATGCGTAGATTGTAAAATATGAATTCCAGAAAAGTTTCCCAAATATTGCATGCACATGACGAGACTATAACTTGAGCAAAGGTCTTACTTGTTGAAACTGCAAGTCAGATGGAGAAGGTCGAAACAAGATTGGACTAAATTCATGCTCACTTTCAGAGTTTTTTGATGCTCTAACTGTTCCCAGGTAATCAAGAATACAAGACTCAATCTCCTCCTCTGAGAAGTCCCCAACAATACTTACCTGAAAAATGAAGACAAACAGATTTAGATTTTAAGAAAAAGAGGCTCATTTGGAATGCCAACTTCAGGGAGAAGATTTGAGAGTGAATATTTACCTCCATATTATCACCTATAAACTGATTCATGACAGCATCTTTCACAGATTTGAGCGTTAAATTTTGTAATGATTTTGGAGTAGGTTCAACAAAGCGCTCATCATCATTCATCATCGCTAACATGAGTTTGTGAGCAGTTGAGCGTTCCAAACTCTTTGGAATAGACCGATAGTAGGACAAATACAATTGTCTTGCTCTATCAAATGCATCCTCGACCCAGACACTATGCTGCAAATCAGAAGCCATCTTTTATTAGAACACAGTAAATATCATTGTATCATAACTTTATGATTAAAATCAAGTATTCATAAGAACGACTCCTTCCCGGAATTAATATGTTTCTTAATCCTAAATAACTTCTAAACAAAAAGAAAGATCAACACATATAGTTATAGTTATCAACATGTGATACCTCGAGCACCATATGAAGTAACTGGAAAGCAGCACACATCCCGTTGTCTCTCAAAGTAAAACGGAACTCCATTGCAATAAATTCCTCGGTGGACTCCAAGGAGCAATTTATCAGGTGGTTCACACAAAAGAGTTCTACCTGGGAATCACGTTAAAATGCACATAAGATAAATAATAAGTGGGAAAAAGAAGGCTGAGAATTTTTAGCGAGATTATAACAGTGTGAAATAGCAATGTGGATCAAGTAAACTAGTTCACATTCGTAGAGATGAGAGAATAGAACATATGATCATCACACAAATAAGAGGGCAATAGGAAGTTATCCTCAATTTTTCATTTTAGTAAAAGGACCAAATATTTTATCATCAATCATCATGCATTTCCATACTTTTTCCACAGTGAACCACTATTTAAAATAGATAACCCAAAGAAAGGTACTAACCCTGGAAAATAATCAAATATCCATTTAAGAAGTGATAAGAACAGCAAAAAGAAAAAAATACCTGTTCCCTGGAGAAGTTGCCAACTCGACCACCCTCACTGAGAGTTCGGACACCTACAACTATAGCTCCCTTTGAATCGGAAGATTCAGCAGCTCTTCCCCCACCAACTACGAGCCGCATTACCCCTCCCTTGGCTTCATTTTCTGAGATCTGAACAAATATAAAGGTTTCATATGGATAAGACGATAAGTTCATAAACAATTCCATGCGAGTGTAAGACATGTCGAATTGACCAGAAATATTGTTGTTTCAAGATATGTTTAATAAATCCATAATCAATGTAATCAGATATCAAATTCATAAGCCAATTAAAAAGTACCTAGTTAAGGTCGTCATACAAAGCTACATACATACTGAATTTGTAAATAAATATAGTCTACATTTAGTAGTTGAGAAGATCTACCTGCCTTGACAATAAATTACTGTCAAGGGAAAAAGAAAACTCGAGGAATAACCAAGGAAAAGACATCTCAACAAATAAATTCAAACACACACACAACTTACAAACCTTGAGCAGAAACTTAAGATTTATTTGGTAGACCGGGGCTCAACCTTCAGAAAACTACTACGTAGGAGAACAAAATACTCAAATCCAGTCATATCAGATAGCACTATTAGACACAAATAACCATTATTCCTTTTTAATTAGTCCAAAAGTAACTAAAAGCAACAAATGCAAGGCATACCTTATAATTTACAGGAATGCCATTAGAAAGACGGAGTTGAGTAATCCCTGTTTCCCTGTCTTGCAATTTTGTGACACCTATTTCAGGACTAAGAGGAATAAAAGAAGGCCTCTGCTGCATCCTTAACTCTTGCAACTGCTGTGGAGATATTAATTCTTTTGGCACTTCAAGCTGCAGAAAAGAAAAAGAAGTTTAGCAGTGACCCTCCTTGAATAAACTTCTGCAAAGATAATATAAGCAAACACAATACGAAGTGGCACTTAATATAGATAAAAAAGAAGACCTCAGGCTCAGCTTCAATAGGTTCTATCAATCCTGACTTTATTGCAGATGTGATCTCGGTTGAGGTTATCTTGAATTCAGTCTCACCAATGCCATCAACATGGACTTTCTTTGGAACACACGCAACAACTGCTGCTGGAAGGGGTGCAGTAGGTTTTCCAAAATCAGAGATAAATTCTAATACCTGTGCTCCAATAGAGTTGACCTACATGACAAAACAGTAAAAAAATGTTCGCAAGGAATTTGTTTTAATTTAAAATTGTGATATCAAGTGCCAAGAGGAGAAAAATCACATATTTCAAACAACTGCTTAAAGTTACACCAGCCTTATGCTGAAGTACCACATGGAAAACCCACATCTATAAATCAACTTGTACTTCTTTCCCAAGAATGAATTAAAACTTCCACCCAAATCATGATTGGGAAAATGCAAAGAATAAAGGAATTTATGAACTACTTCCATTAAATCATAGCAACCGGCTCAGTTGTATTTCGGGGACACAAAAATACAGCATTACAGGAAATAACAAGTAAAAACCATGGTGAAATTGTCAGAATATGTCCAAGATGCATACATTTCACAAAAATTGTGTAGGATTATTCCCAAAACATCCTATTAACACGCATCAACCAACATTAGTTTCACTGCCCCAGCTCATTCGCTCAACTATATGATGCAAATATGCCTTATTAAAACAGAAAATGAAAAATGCTCATGTAGAGAGCAAAAAGCATGAAGAAAACTTGCAGAGGTTAGGATCGTTAACTTACTTCTTCAAGAGTAACTGTTCCAGCAACAGCCATCAAACACTCATGTCCTTGTGTCTGATCCATAACCATATGGCCCAGTGCATCGCTTTCCATAATAAAATCCAAATTGTCAACTGACGATACATTGTCAATCATTGCTGCCAAGTGTTCACTATCTTTTAACAGTGCATCCATATAGCGCGTCAATTCACCCTTAGTAACACCAAATTCCTTGAGCCTTCGAACCTGTGACCACCACAATATATTAGGATTTAAAGCCATTTGATGTGAATCAATCAAAAACAATATTCTACCATCAACCCCATAGTAAATAAATAAAGAAGTAAAAGTTGACGGTAACAACAGAAGAACACCCGTAGTTATTCCAGAGAATAATTACTCATCCGCACCAATAACCGACAAAGAAAAAAGGTAAAATCAACAGAAGAAAATAGAAGACTGTAAATGATGAAGGAAACACAAACCTCTTGAACAGCAACCCTAATTGCATTCTGCCAATTCTTGGGCTCTGCTGTGACTGTAAGAGTTGTGACAGTGCATCCTTCCCTTCCCGAATCACTATGGTCCAACTCAACTGAAGTAAATGGTGGATTTGAACTCTGGCAATTTCATAAATTAGTCCCAAATTTCAAAAGAAATGTTTACGTTATTTTTGTGACTTGGAAGTGGGGATGCAAGGGGGTGGCAATAAACAAAATGGGCAATTTGGAGGCAGACAAGCTAGCTAAGGAAGGGATAGGCTGATGGTTTTTCTTATTCCTGTTGTTATTGTAGTTATGTTCTGTTTAATCAAGGAGGGTTATAGTGTAATGTGTATCTTATGTATTTCAGGGTTAGAGTGTAATGTGTATCTTATGTAATTCAGGGTTTGAGTGCATTTTGTATCTTATGGAATTCAGGTTAATTAATAAATTGAGGTCTCTTTTCATCCTCCAATTAGTTGTCTCTTCATAAGAGCCAACTTTGAGGGAGGTTGTTATTGAGACCTCCTATTCCTATAAAAAAAAATGTTATACTGCTTTAGGAAATGAACTTGAATTCAGCTGTAATGATTCACCATTCACAATCACTTGCAAAATAAGATAACAGAAACAAAAGGTTGACATTATAGAAAAACCACAGATTTATTTTTGCACTATATGACATTTTAAAGTTTTGCACTATACTTATAGTTCAAACAACAAGATTTATTTTTTTTGAAATACACTGTTTCACTTAAATATTTATTTTTTAAACCCCTGAAAGACGTGGCTGACCAAGTCCACTTTTCACGTAAATCGGGACATCTGCTGACTGGGATGCCATGTAGGCAAAGAAGCACCCTGTCAAATGTGCCTTTGCCCTACGTGGCAAAAATGGGTTTTATTTCCGTAAATAATCTTGAGAGGGTGCTATTTTCATAAATAATGTTAAAATTAGTATATTTAGGTAATAAAGCCACGAATTTGTTCTCACACGCAAAAGCACGTAGGGAACAACAACTGCATGCGAAATTGGGACTATATAAAGCTCTACTTCGACAGCATGAAAGAAGTATGATAAAGTGAAATTTCAAAATTAATCAGATATCAAGGCAGTCATAATAAACGGTAAGTTCTCTGGGTAATAAAGGCTGTAAGGGTGAAAAGGAGTGGAGAATTAGCACACCTTGTATCTTGAATTAATACGAAAATGCAAGGCAGACAGAAATATCCTTTTCATCAGAACATTTCTCAAGTCTCTGAAAGTTCGAACCTTGGCCACAGGAATCTGCAGGAAGATTTACAAGACAATATCTGAGACAAATGCCACACCTAGGTCTAGTCGTTGAAGTTTCATTGAAATGAGTAACAAAACAATTTAATAATAGAGAAAATAGACTATTATGCATAAATTAAGTAATGAACAACGTACCACGAGAAAAACTGTACAACTACTACTGAATTAGGAAAACTTTTTTTTTTTTGTGTGTGTATATTGGGGGGTAGTATATTATGAGATAATGAGAGCATGGATGTTGGTACAATTAAATTCTACATGAACAGAAACTAAAAGCATCTGATTGATAAATAATAAACTGCCTACTTACTGCGTATCTATAATGCTCTATAATAATCAACATATTTACATGCCAAATCATACATTAAGGATCAGTACGAGCACCTCTGATAAAGCAGATTACTAATTAGAGCAAAACAGCAGGGAGTTTTTAATTCAAAGTCTTAGCACAACATAGACAGTATTCATATGAAAATACAACAAGGAGACTATGAAAATTTAACTGTAGAAAAACTAATAAAAAATTCACTAAACAAGCATCATTTTCCCAACCTTGCAGAACATGTTAATTGAAAAATTCTGAAGCAACTCATGCTGAAATATTTGGGGAGGCTTCATGTCAGTTTTATGTCCAGGAAGAGACCAGTTGTGCTTTATAGAAGGACGAACGGCATGCCTTTCCTTCTTAAGAATTTTAGATTGATCTGCAGCATTAGATGATCTTTCATGAGATGAACTTCCAGCGAACCCAGCTGAGAGTTTAGGAACTAGAAAATTAGCCATGGCACCAAATGCACTAGAAGTAGGTGGTGAGGCCATTTCATTTTCAAGGCCAATTTGTTCTAAAACAGTCTGCATAGAACCAAAAGGTTGCAGTCAAGAACATTGATGCTAATTATTACGACAACAGATGCAATAAATGATAACAAAACAACTTGTGCCGTTATGCCATACTTCAATCTGGTTTATTGTCTTTGAGATATTATTGATGTCCCCCACAATGTACAAAGTTGCATTAGCTGGAAAATACCACCGTTCATGAAATTTTCTTATTTTATCTGCATCCCACTTCTTGATCTGCTCTTCTAATCCAATTGGAAATCTTTTGCTTAGCTTGTTCTCAGAATGCAAATGTTGTAATAACTGTATGCAAAAGAAAGCAATAATGACATATTAGAATTTGAGCAAACTTAGAAAAATAAGCAGCCAAACCATAGTATCAGCCTCATTAGCACCTGACAGTCAACACGGTACTCTATTGTATTCATCATCTGTAATTCTGAAAGTATAGCACGCCTCTCTTTTTCAACCCGAGAAGAAAGGAACTTTGGATGGAAAGCTATCTGTATGCATGAAATAGGAATGATGAGCTGAAACTTTTTTACTGTGCTTAATAGATTTCATTTTAGTAATAGGTGAGAGGGGGTGGGAAATGGGAAAAGAGAAGAAGTCCAGCTGCAATCACATCAGCATTAAGTCCTTATCATTCAAATGAGAAATTATATTTTAAAGAAAGACTGATGTAATTGAGTTTCATACCTCATTCAATGCATCCAAAACAAGTGGAAGTAAATCTTCATCAGCATCCTGAAACAAGCCATTCATCATCAAATATACAATAAGCATATCGTAGAAAGGTATCATAGCTATGTTGAAGCAAACCTTATACTTGTTTAGCTTCTTTAGTTGACCCATGCCAAAGAAAAATAATGAATAGAAAAAAAAATCACAGTAGAAATATATAAACCAAGATAAAGCACATTACAAAGATTAAAATGCTACACACACGCGTGCACTTTCTCACACATAAAAAGTGACAAATACAATAACTTTAATCCCTGAAGCAAGCAAAGAAGCAAAGGTGATACGTTTGAGCCAAAAGACAATGTTGAAGAGTAAATGTATTGAAATAAACCTTGGTATAAGTTGGTGAATGGATGTGAAAAACTGTATGGTGGAAATCAGTGTAAGCATTTGAGCGAGCCCCAGTCCCAAGAAGTTTCTCACGTTTCTTGCTTCCAAGGAATGCAACATGTTCAATCATATGTGCCATCCCTTGCTCGTCATCTTCCTCATCAATCGATCCCACATGAACCTCCATATGTGCTTCAAACCTAAAGTTATTTTAAAATATTACTACCTAAATGCAAGAAATAGGGAATATTGTCTCGTCTGCATGAAACAGGTCTGTTGATGAACACCTCCTATTTCAGATATGTTATATTATTCAAGATTCAACTTTGAAGTTTCTGGATAGTAACACATCACAGACTGTGCTTTCAGCATCATAAAAACTGTTACCGTGTAAAAGAAGCTGATTTTGAAATTCAAGGTAGTTATCAATTGTGATTAATAATTTTATGCTCAAAGTGTTTAATAATTTTATGCTCAAATTTTTTAATAATTTTAACACCAAATAAGAAAGGGGGAAAAAATTCAAGCATGCACTTCTAATGTTAGTCAAGATGGAGTATGACTTTAACTCAGAATTCTTTTACATCCTTGAAAACAAGAAGCTGCTAATACTGAGACGGAATTGTACCTGTTTGCTGGAACTTTATTTGGCAAAATAAGGTACCGAAGGCCATTTTTCAATTGTCCTCGATGTAGCTTTGGGTGGGAAGGAAGTTCACCAGACAAAAACCCCTCTAGTTCAGCTGTTTGTAATTGAGGATATAATGAATCAAAGTCTTGCTTTTCAAGAAGACCATCTGGCAAGGAAGTACTGGCTGCATGTGGTTCATCTGGACCAACAGTAGCACATAGAGGACGCATGTGATTGCCCTGAAACAATTGCTTAATAAGATTAATGAATCAAGTAAAAATAGCACTCAAGGATCCTTATTTTTTTCTTCTGCAATACACTGAAGCAGTTGAAAACAGCTTAAGAAATAAATACTTACATGAGTTTTGAATGTGTGGGAAGAGAGAGGAAAGCAAGATTTCTGGCGAAAGAACGGTGACAACGATGTTGAGGTAGGAAAGGGTGTAGTCTTTCCGTAGCAGTTGTGGCTAAGGGAGGAACAGCAGGGAACCCAAGTTTTCAACTGTTGTGAGCGTGAGACAGAGGCACTCCCTTTCCATGCCTTGGAAGCATCGCTTGTCTTCTTCTTCTTCATCCTCAACTTCCTAACCCAATTATTATTTCGACTCTGGTATAATTCAATAGAATTCCTATCTCTAGCGTCACCCAGCCACCTTCATGCACCACAATATCCCCATTTTAAATAAGGGTTTACTCTCTTAAAAATTGAAAAACAATAAATTCGATAAATCTGAATACTTTAAAACGAAAACCAATACACGAAGCATAATAACACCCAATACAAAAAAACAAGAATAAGAAAAAAGAAGAGTTTACCGGGCAGCTGCAGGGGCCGGAACTGATGATAAATGGAAACGGGTCAAAGGAAATGAAGCGGCGGGAACAGGAATGTTAACCCTAACCATGCTCCTTCGCCCTTTGGAAACGGAAGAATCCAATCGGCTTTGAGGGACTTGGATTCCAGCCATCACCGATGAACTTGACGATGTTGCCATGGCTCGCTACCCAGCTGCGGACACTGAACGGAACCGCTTATGAGCTTTATTTTGTATTATCTAGTAGTTGAAGATGATAACTAACTAATTATTTATGAGGGATTTTGCTGCTTTTCTCCCCCAAAACTAGAGTAAAAAAGGGCTAGTTGAATTTATAAATTTCATTTGCTTGATGATTGGGCCATCATGGTCTTGGCTTGCCTCCAGTAGTTAAACCGAATAGCTACCAAGAGGTTTTGAATCTAGATTTCTCGTTTATCAACCAATAAAAGGGAAAATAATCTTCGCAGCAGAGTCGGCCAGTGCCACACGTATTTTGGCCAAAACGAAACTTGGAACGAAAAATCAAGCCTCGAGTCACAATCGGCGTGGTCCTTTTCGATTCACAACTAGTGTCGTGTTATAATAATAGGATAAATTACTGATTTAATAATTAAATTTTATTCTCTTACTTATTTTATTTATTATACTTTTAATTTTTTAATTTAATTATTGAATTTTATATATTAATTTTTATCACTTAATAGTGATATAGATTATTTTATTATTATTTTTATATAATGTATCATATTTTATTAATATTTTAATATCACGTAGGATTATAATAAAAAATAAAATTTTAAATTATATCTATAAAATTTAGATCCAAACCCTAAACCCCAAATTATACTTCAAACTTTATTACTCAAATTACAAGCTTCATCCCGTCCTCACCCTTATAACCTCATCCTCTTATTTGCAGACGATAGGCTGTAAAAAGCTGACTCGATCTGCAAAACTGACTGAAACCAACTCGAGTTAAAATTGTTTTTGAGGTGATCCGAAATCGACTCGAGTCGGAATTGGTGTTGACCTGAACCTGATTTGGACCTGGAAATTGTGGATCCGAACTCGACCTGCATCCGACCTGAGAACGACCTGAACCCGAATTGAACCGAAAATATGATACCCGAACCCGAACTGCATCCGACTGATATGAACCCGAACCCGAGATTGACCTGGTAAATAACTGGTATTACCCGACCTGTTTTCAACCTGACATGTTTTTAATCTAACATGTTTTTAACCTGACATGTAAATGATCAGACTTGTTAATGATCTGATCTGATATTTACCTGACTTATATATTACCATGGACGAAATTATAAGATTTTAATAAATTTTTGACTTTTTTAGTTTATGATGTAATTAAAAAATTAATATGATTACTTTTTAAATGTTATAATAAAAATATTTATTATTATAATTAAATTAATAAATAGACCTATTATATAAAATTATTCAATAAAATTAATAAATTTATTTAAATGTAAATTAGATAAAACATGATTAATAATGCAAAGGAAAATTAATATACTTTAATTTATATAAATTATATAGTTTAATTTATACAAAAAATAATATTAATAATGAAAGTATTTATTATGTAATATATATTAACGTTTTACATTATTAATATAAATAATTTTGGCAATACATTAGTTTACATTGGCCCAATACATAAGCTCACTCTTTTATTACAAATATATATGCATTAGTGCTAGTCAATTTATATTATGGTTTATGGTTTAGTGTTTATGGTTTAAAGTTTATGCTTATGATTTAGGGTTTAGAGTTTCTATAAACTATATACTTTATTACTTTATATAGTTTATGCATAGTATTTTTATAAACTAGATAAGTAATTTATTTTATATAGTTTATATTATTAGATCAATAAACGAGTTAAATGTAAAATCTGAACAATAATTTCCCATTGGATAAATAAATTGTAACTAAACAAATGATTTTAGTTTATAATATACAGTTTCCCTTTCACATGGTTCGTGAACAATTTTATATTTATATAATTTCAAAGATTGTTATGCACAAGGAGGCAAGGAGCTTCGAGGTTTGAAATTCGTTTCCTAAAGGTGTGTTTGGTTGGGGGAATGTGATATTTTCATTGGAATGAAATCCACATTCCCCCGTTTGGTTGGCCGGGAATGTCATTTCCGGTAATCTTACATTACCAATAGTGAATTTTTTGGGGTATATTATCAAGAATGTCATTACCTCCATTTCCTTAGGTATTATTGGATTACCAGCGTTTTGGACTAAAATGGCCTTAAAAAAAATTTCTTCCAAAAATATCATTTATTCTGTCACTAAATAATAAAAATTTTACGAAGGTTAAATTATAAATTTATCCTTAAATTATTTTAGATTTATAAAAAAAAATCTATAATTAAAATTTTATATGAAGTTCAAGGGTTAAAATAAAATTTTACCCTTTCATTAAACCTTTTTATATTTTCAATTTTGTAAAAAAATATATATAAATTTTATGAATTTAAATTTTTTAAAGAAAATATATAAATATTTTACAAATTGTTAAAAAAATAAATATATAATAGGACAATTTGGTCAAATATACATTCATTAATCTTTTATTCCTTTAACCAAATACGATAATCTTACATTTCTGCTGAACCAACCAAACACAAAATACAACATTCCCAGTAATCATATTCCCTGGTAATATTTTATTCCCACTGATAATCTTACATTCCGTGAACTAAACGTACCCTAAAAGACAGGCAAAAAACATATAACACTCTTTTGTCTGGCTTTATTTTAATTCTGCTGTTAAATTATTTTTTATTAGGTGAATCTTCTATATTATAGTCAAATTTAAGAGTCCGATAATGAATAACTACATACACTAATAAAATATTACGTTTTAAAGATAAATATTTTATTTAATTATAAATTATTATTTTTCTCAAATTCCAAATAAAATAATGAATTAAATAATAATTTTTAGAAAAATATTTGATGTACTAACTAAATGAATTAAAATTTAAGACTTAATGTTTGAATTCAATATCTTACTTGGGGTTTATAGTTTAGGGTTTAATATTTAGGGTTTAGGTTTTATGATTTAGGGTTTAGGGTGTATGGTTTCTATAAACTATATAAGTAATTTACTTTATATAGTATATATATACTATACATGGTTTATACATACATATTATATAAAATTATTTACTAAAGTAATAAAATTATTTAAATGTGAATTATATAAAACATGATTAATTAGGTGTTAAATAATTAGCATGTCACATTGCATATTATATGATTCATAAATAGTAGTACATGTCATATTAATTTTATTTGCATAATTAGTATTTTAGTTGCATGTTAGGTTAATTCACATTAATAGCCCATTTATTTTGTTGTTATGAATAAGTAATAATAAAACTAAAAAATAAGTCCATTTGCATTAGTGATAGTCCATTTACATTAGTTTACATAGGCCCAATACATAAACCCACTCTTTTATTACAAATATACATGCATTAGTGCTAGTTTATTTATATTAGGGTTTATAGTTTAGTGTTTATGGTTTAAAGTTTATGGTTTAAAGTTTATGGTTTATAGTTTAGGGTTTCTATAAACCTATATAATTTATTACTTTATATAGTTTATTCATAGTGTTTCTATAAACTATATAAGTAATTTACTTTATATTGTTTATATATATAGGTTATATATGTATATGTAGTTTATATATACTATACATGATTTATACATACATGTAATATAAGTTACATATATAGTTCAAGGGCTAGGGTTCACAATTTAGTATTTAAGGTTTGTTGTTTTTATAAACTATAATTTTATTACTTTATATAGTTTATGCATAGTATTTTCTATATAATATATATATATATATATATAATCTATAGATTACTTATATTAGTTATACATACATATATATACTATATTAATATAAATTATAATTTATAAACTATATATTTTATATAGTTTACACACGCACACGCATACACGCACGCACGCACGCACACACGCACACACACACGCACACACACACACACATATATATAGAGAAAATTAAAAGTAATTAAAATGTATACATGATTAAATTTCATCGAATTGAAAATTCAAGAAGATATTACAATTAAACCATGACTAAAATGAAAGAAATCAAAAATCAAATACAAGTGGAAAAATGATGATTGTTGGAGGAGCATGAGCCTAATTAACCCAAAATATATTTCCAAATAAAATCTCAATTCTCAATTTCCCTCCAAAATTTTACATTCCCTCTAAATTTCCCAATTCCGCTCCAAATTTCCAAATAAAATCAAAAAATTTCACACAAAAAAAATCTTTATTTTAAAAAGTTTTATCCCACCACTCACTTTGAATATATATATATATATATATATATATATATATATATATACACACACACTATATTAATATAAATTATAGTTTATAAACTATATATTTTTATAGTTTATACATATATAGTTTATAATATAAATATAGTTTATATATATAGTTTATATATAAACTTATATTATTTAGATATATATTATATTTTTTTTGAATTTTTTAAATGAATGTAATTTACTATATTTTTCATTATTTTTTTCACATTTTGTATTTATTTTGATTTAATCTTTTTATTTATTTATTTTAATTTCAAGTCTTTTACTTTTATATGTATTTAATTTAGTCCTTAAATTTATATTTGCATCTTCATTTGGCCCATTGTTAGTTGTTATTTATATTTTTGTAATTGGCCCATAATTTTTTAAATATGTTTAATTTAGTCCCTTTTTATATTAATTTAAACCTCACATTTTAAATTTATTTTAATTTAGTCCCTTACCTATGTGTGTTGTTTAATTTATATTTTAAAATTTTATTTGTTATTTTACATTTCTTCAATTTTGTCCTTAAATTTATATTTTTTACAAAATTGATCCATGTATATTTATTTTTCTCTTAATTTACTCGAAATCATATACAATTACAACTTGCAATTCAACAATCATCAAAGATGACAAAATAATTAATCCAAAAATAAAAATGACTTGACCTGAACTCAATCTGTATCTGGTAAACATCCGACCTGAATTTTATCTGTCAATGATGTGACCCGATTTGAACGAGATCCGACTGAAGTCCACCCGAACCTGAATTAACATGGTCTTTATCTGCTTCAGACCTGAACTGACAACGATCCGAACTGAAAATGACCTGACCTGAACCCAATCTGGATATGGTGTCAAATCAACCCGAAAATAACCCGAACTGATTTGACCTGACCTGAACCCGATCTGGATCTGGTGTCAAATCAACCTAAGTTGACATGTATCC